CGGACGCTTAACCGACTGCGCCACCCAGGCGCCCCTAGTTCTCTTTTTTTAATGAAGCTCAGCTCTCTGACATCTTTAGCTTTCTCTTTGTTTAATCCTTTACTCAGGGTCTCTCAACACGTGAGAGTCTGGCGGGTAATTCAGCAGACAGGTCTCTTTCTCCTTTAGAAGCAAAGGAGGGAGGGGCGACTATGAATATCCACCTATTTATAATCATTGACTCAACAGTTTTCGACCCTCTGCCGCCAGTGGACATGTGAAAGAAATAGCCAGGAAACAAGCTGTACTTAGAAAGGTTGGATCTGTGACTTTTTCTTCTTCTCTCTCTGCCTCCTCCGCAGCTGCTAGACATAGCAGGGAACCTTCTGGAAAGGCCGCTGATAGCGCAGGATGCATCTGACAAGTACCTGCTGTTCGTCCGAATGTTCCACAAAGACCTGGATACCGTGAGGGTGATCTACAGTCAGCGCGTCCAGGAGGAGGCAGAACTTGGTAGGTTTGTGGCGAGCGGATTTGAATGGGGGAGTTCTGTTACCAGCAAGGGTGCAACTCAACCCTCTTGTGTCCATTAAATGGCCACGGTGGGTCCATGACATCCTCCCAGAAAAGAGAGCACAGTCTTCCTGCTTGAAATCTCAGGCTGCCTTGGGCAATTATAGAATTCACTGACCTGTGCATTTCCCTGTGTCTGGGGCTGCGACTGGCAGCCGACCCAGAGCACTGAAGTCCCGACTGCTTCTGGCTGAGACCTTAGCACAATGCATGAGTTGACCCTTGATCAATGTTGCCACACTGATCAATCTCCAGCGTACCTCAGTTCCACAACGGATTTCTACACGCCTGGGGAAAGTTTCTGCTCCCTTCTGACACCATAGCAAACCCTGCTTCTGGAGGGGGGACCCTGCAGGAGGCTGACAAACGGCAGGTCCGTGCCGAGGTGTGATGTCTCCATTCTTGAAAAAAAATTTTTTTCTAACCTTTATTTATTTTTGAGAGAAAGAGAGAGAGAGAAAGAGCATGAGCAGGGGAGGGGCAGAAAGAGAGGGAGGCACAGATTCCGAAGCAGGCTCCAGGCTCCGAGCTGTCAGCACAGAGCCCGACGTGGGGCTCAAACCCACGGACCGGAGATCATGACCCGAGCCGAACTCGGACGCTTAACCGACTGAGCCTCCCAGGCGCCCCATGACGTCTCCATTTTTGCCGCAATTCTTAGATGCCCCGTCTTACCTGATCTGAAGTCAAACACAAGTTCAGTTCTGCTCTACAAGCATTTCTTGAATCCTAACTATATGCAGGGCACCTTTGTGGGCACTGTATACAGAGGCAGGCCAGGGTAAGGGATAAAGTAATTAATACTAAAGGGTTGTCCTTCAAGGAACACATCAGACATGAACAGACTTAACAGTAATGCAGAGCAGAGAACACAGGCGATGTTCAACTTGAGTCACAGCGAACGGTAATGAAACAAGACAGCTTATGGCCGGGAGGTCTGAGGGGAGTGTGTGGGGTAGATGGCCTTGAGCTGAGCCCTGCAAGGTCGGGGGATAGACAGCCAGGGAGAAATGGCAAAGGCCTCTGAAGCAGAGACAGGAGAGGAAGGTGATGGGTGGCACCTGCCTCAGCCAAAGGAGGTTACATGGGGAGATTATGTTAGTCACAGAGTTTGGGGGCAACAATATCACCTTCTCTGAGTGCCATATTTAGGAATCTGGGGTTCATTATTCGGGTAATGGGAAATTTTCCAGGGTTTTTAAGCAACAGAGTAGTAGGACCACTGCATCTATCAAGAGGTTTGCAAGTTCCCAGGGAGGTCATTAAGAACTGCTTCTTAGGGGCGCCTGGGTGGCTCAGTTGATTGAGTGTCCGACTCTTGGTTTCTGCTCAGGTCATGATCTCATGGTTCATAAGTCTGAGCCCCACGTCGGCCTCTACACTGACAGCACGGAGCCTGCTTGGGATTCTTTCTCTCCTTCTCTCTCTCTGTCTCTGTCTCTCTGCCCCTCCCCTGCTTGTGTGCTTTCCCTTTCTCTCTCTCTCTCTCAAAATAAGTAAACTTTACAAACAAACGTTTCTAAAGTTCTGTAGGTCGGAGCCCAGCATGATGTGCCTTGATCTCCACTGAGAGTGGCCCAGGGCTGAAATCACAGCATTGACCAGGGCCAAGTTCTCATCAGGAGGTCCCAGGGAGTGGGGGGAATACGCTTTCGAGCTCATTTCGTTGGGAGAATCCAGTGCCTTGTGACTGTAGCCCCGAGGTCTGCAATTCCTCGTTGGCTGTTGGCGGAGGGGCTGGGTGGGGGGGCCACTTAGTGACTGGATGGCACGCCCATGCCTCCATCTTCAAGCCAGGTATGGCTTCCTGAATCCCTGACTTCTCCTTCCAGCCACCAGAGAAAACGTTCTGCTTTAAAAGGACTCACCTGATTAAGTCAGGCCCACCCAGGATCATCTCTCTTCCGCTATCTAACATAGCGTCATCACTGGAGTGATTTCTCGATCGTATCTGGTTCCCCCCCCCCCGAAAACACTGCCTTAAACAGACAATAGAATCTTTGGGCCTCGGTTTTTCATTATCTAGAAAATGGAATACCTATCTTCCTCTGCTTCATTTCCAGGGAAGTTTCCTGGTGACAAATTCACTAAGATGAAATGAGACAGGCCATGGGTTGTGAATCACTTCCGACTTCAGCACAGCCTGGATGCCTCTTTATGTCAAAATCAGTGGTTTTTTGCTCACTTGTCAGAGGGATTCAACAGTGAATTTAGATTACATTTTAAGACAAATTTTTAAACTTATTTTTTCCATTTATTTGATTCGAGAGGGGAGTGGTGAGAGAGAGCAGAGAGAGAGAGAGAGAGAGAGGGACAGAGAATCCCCAAGCAGGTCTCAGACTGTCAGTGCAGGACCGACGTGGGGCTCAGACTCCGCATGTGAGATCATACTGAGCGAAACCACAGAAAGTGGACATTAACTCAGACTGAGCCACAGTGCCCCCATGATTCATTTCGAAAAAATCTCAGTTGGAAGGTTGGCAAGAACCAGCCACTACTTAACTAGCAGGGAAGCGAATAGTGGCCCTTTCTTATTTAACCACAGACCCCTGCCCTGATGTCATACCTCAACCCTGATCTGTTAAGTCACATTCTGCCCGCCTCCGTGGGGCAAAATGCTAGATGACACCAATGACCCTAACCCTTGCATAATCTTCTCCTTCAGTGTGGGGGGG